TATTCCCGGCTTTCGGCAAACGGAAACAACAAATGACGATGCGTAATGGTGATTCGAAATAATTAAATAGTTTCCCGGATTCGAGGAATGACAGTCCAATAATGAAAGGGTTTTTGCAATTGAAGAATATTTCGAGAATTAACAGCTTTGCCATGAAAAAAATTGCGTTCAAACATAAAGAAAATAATCTTTGAAATTTGATCCTTCAAATGTATTTTCGGGAATTCATCGAAATTACCTGACAAAAAACATACATGGAATCTTCATGGAAAGCTTCTACGACATTTATCTCGCGAAACGTATTAGAAATTAAGATCGATAGTTACCTTTGCTTATTGGACGTAATCGAACATCCGCTTTTTTTTAGCTCCATTTGACTCTAAGTTTCCGGATATTTTCAAATGATTTTATTATTTAAACTTTGCAAGTCGGAATTTGAATTTCGATATTGAACCGTTAGCAAACATTTTAAAAATGTGAAACAAAAATTGGAAAGTCTAGTTTTTGAGGAAGATTGATGAATGGATTGAAAAATTGCAATTTTTGAGTAGTGCAAGCATTTTCTATAAATAATTTATAAACAATCAATTTTCCACCATAAAAATCATTTGTTTGGAATGCTCACTAATTGATTCAGAATCAGAATTTTAATAGAAATCGATTTCATGTCTAAAAAAATTACGTTTTCGAAAGTTTAAACAATTTCAATTATTTATTTATAGGCACCAAATGTTGAAAAAAATAATAATGCTATGCAAAATGTAACTGAAATGACACTTAATAATATTCATGAATTTTGGAAAATTTATCTGTTACATTGTATCTTTTATACTTCACAATTTATTTGACAAAATTGGCGATTGAAAATGTTTCAATCTCTAGCGTGGTTTGTACCATAATGAAAGATACTTGGATATCCTTAGACGAAAAATCATTGGGTATTGAAATCAAGAACCCCGAGGTTTTTAGCCCTCGGTTGTTCACTCCACCTCTAGTATCTCATTCACTCTACTGTGGCGCCCTATACGTCGGCAGGCGTCATCCTCATGAGGTGAACAACCGAGGGTTAAAATGAAAACTGAGTTTTTCCAATTGACAAGCTTGTCTCCTTCAATTATCTTCATTAATTCTGGCAAGCCATCACAACTTAAGCAACCTCTCACTGAGTTTTCAGTTTACAACAGCGGCCACAAATATTATAATCTCCTATTAATTTATTTTCATAATTTTTTTTACAAATTCATATACCATCTTTGAATTTTCATAATGGGAGTCTTCTTGGGGTTCATACCAGCCGCGTCCACATCGTGAACCCTGGGTAACGCTGAATGCTTTGAATTTAATTTGATACCTTAAGGTAATAATTAATAATTTTGCTTTATGGAAGGAGGTGCCGAATGAGAAGTTCCGTACATTTATGTGAACATCCATAATAATATATGAAATGATTCAAGGAGGTTTAAATTTATTAGTGGATACCCACCGACAATTTTGAAATATAATTTAGTAGGGGCCGTGGTTGTAAACTGAAACCCTCACTGATAAATCCAACTCTTCAACTCCAAATGTCTATTGTGATCAATGAAAAATATTTCTGAGGTTTTTAATCAAAACAATATATTGTAATACACCATTTCATCAACTTTCAGTTATTGCACTTGCGTTAGATATTATGTTGACCCCGGTATTGGCGATTGTATTTCAGCAGGTTCAATAAAATGATATCTCAGCGAAGGTCATTTATTCATGCATCACCTGGCCTGTAATCAGGCAAATGTCCGAATAGATATAGGATACCTGTTCTGTTGCGCCAGGAGGAGAGGTCCAGGGATCCAATGGGAGGCTAAGAGAGGGTGTAGGGTGGCTTGTGGTGTTTCAGTAGCGTGCCGACATTTGAACGAGTAACACCGCGCTCGGAGTGCCTCCAGCATTTGTCGATGACTCGACAATTTCAATAAGTGTATCATTTGTTTTATTGAAATGTTCCATCACCGTCTGATTTATCGATTTGGTGCGACGTGTCGATGCGAGTTCATTTATTTGTGATCAGTATTCAGTGCGCTTACGATCAACAGGTCACACGTACCACGAGGGAAGGTAATGGTGATTTATAATGTGTAAATGTTTCTGAATCATTCCAGCCCGAGGTGATGGTACTCCCAGTACTGTTCATGTTCAATTAACCGAGTATTAAAAATTGAATTGTTCTAATAAATTAACTGAGAGACGTGCAATCGATGTGCCTAACTCCCCGAGCGAAAATTTTGGTCAGGTTTAAGTCAAGACTGGATCAGGTCATGCCTGAGGATTGATCAGAAAATGATATGATGTTTGTAAAAAACACTGTGCCAAGGAAAATTTTTCTTCGGTTTTTGTATATTTTTAAAGTTTTTTATAGAAGTTGAATTTTTCTAGAAAATTGTCTTCCTTATTTCCTGGAAAAAGTAAAAAAAAAATTTCTTGGCATAGTGTTTTTTAGAAAAATACTTATTGTTGTTTCTTTACGAAGATTTAATTTATTTTTGCAAAGCGAGCAAATGATTAATTTTGTGTTTGTCTACAGACCCCGAAAATATACTTGCCCACATGTAATTCATGTATTTGATAATATTGATAATGGGCGCGGAGATAATGTGAAATACGAACATGAAGATAGGAACTCGTTGTTATCGGTGTAACTTTCTTAATATTGACTTGAAAAGAAAGTGGGCACATCAATGAAAAGCTTGCGAGCGAATTATATTATGTAACTGAGGGTATTTTCCATGTAACTTGTCTCGTTTTTGTTTTATTGAATAGGCATGATCTGGGGGCAGCGGAGGGGGTAGATACTTCGTGTATAGACACTCGGCAGCGCTCGGGCAGAGGTGTTGAATAGTCGGAGTAAAAAAATTCACTTGGCCGATACGCTGCCGCGTATCTCGATAACTGGATCACGCCCTGATCAGTCATGTAACGCCACTTTTAATCAAGACTTGATCAGGCATACCGTTTCTGCATTCAACCCGGATAACCTGTCCATTGGAATCAATAATAATTATTAATTATAATTAATTCAGAACAAAAGATAATTCAATTTTTTTACTGTAGATCATCTCTCTTAATAAATCTCTAACGTAATTATCGCTGAAAAAAAAAACACATGATTTTTGCCGAAGCTGGGGATCCAACCGGGGAGCCTACGATTATTGATCCTATGCCCTAACCACTAGTTATCGCGTTATTGTTATTCAGTGGAATTTGTTTTACTTATATGATCTGTATTGGGGGATTTGTTGACTTCGAAGTTATTCATGAACTCGCGGATTTTTGCATGCCGAAACCGTAATAACAAACAAGCATAAGTGCTCACTTCCCTATGCAAGTACGCTTAGGTTAATAGCAGACAAGCGCTTACGCTTGTCTGTTAGTAAAGTGTCGATAAATTCGGAGAGGACAAATTTGTCTAGTTACAATTTTATTCATTTGATTAATGGATAATAATTCTAACCATCATAACACTATTGAACATATGAAAGTTTGACGAATTTTTTTTTACTGAAGATAATTTGCTTGTAAGTTTGATTCTTCTACTATATATATTCCTGGCACCATCCTTTCCTCCCCCCGTATATTTAATTAAAGCTGTTTGATAAATAAATTGAGAATTAATATTAAGAATTCGATTCTCGGAAAATATTTGATCAAATTAAAATCAGGTGGGTCGGATCCAAACCTTATCTTTTTTTCTTCAGTTGATCTCATTCAACTGAAATTCAAGTACATCAAATCCGGATCGGATCAAATTGGGTTTAAGCAGCTTGACCGCAGACTAAGATCATGCCTACCTGATCAGAACTTGACCTGAGTCCACATACAGATTTTGGGATCCAATCTACTGGATCAAAACTTGATCAGATTCTTATCAGGCGTTACGTGATCGTACTTGATCAGTACTTGATTTAAACTCGCCTGCAGTTTTTGGAATACAATCTAGTAGATCAAAACTTGGCCAGATTCTCATCAGACGTCACCTGATCATGTCTACCTGACCAGAACTGAACTTGAAGTTTATGGAATCCAATCCATTGAATCAAAACTTGGTCAGGTTCTCATGAGAAATCAGCTGATCGGTCGAACCTTACTACACAGGTCAATCAACTTCTGATCGTACTTCAGGTGCAAACAATTTCCACTCGGGTTCATTATTCAAATAGTCAGTTTGTACGTAGGTAACAATAGCATCGAAATCTTATGATGGCCATTAACCTTGTTCGTCAAGAACTTTAGAGGGATTTGTTAACAGATTTCATAGAGTTGGTATAGTATTTCAACTACAATTGAACAACTGTTCCTCTGTGTAATTTCACTTCGTCCATGCACGGATTTCGTTATTGTATTCTGATATGTTCACCTCAGCTAGCTAAACATATGGCCATTTTCATTAATTATTCACAGGACATATTTGAGAATAATTTATGCGGTATGAGAAGCAATGTGGATGATTCTGATTATGGATAATTTTTATCATTTCTCTCACGACATTCACAGAATTAGCCTAGAGTGGTATCACCTTGAGCTATTTCGTTCCCTTCGTAGGATAATAATTCATCTCTGTTTCATACGTTAATTTTACATTTCTATCACTTCCTCCTGCTAACTTCATTTCCCTCGAAGCATCGAAAATTACTGATGACGACCTACCACATTATTGAAGATTATATCTCAATAGTGATTCCATTATCAATATTTTCACGTGATTACTCCGCTGATTGATTCTCCGTTTGATTAATTACAGGAGGTCCAGCTCTTGCGCCCGGAGGAGCCCCATGGTCCTGGCAAACTTTGGTTGGGGAAATATTCTCATTGTTTATATTAATTTATGCCGCAAGGATAACGATGATTGAACTGCGGTGAACAATGTAGCCAGTGGGATGCGCATGCTGCATAACAAAATCGGGGAGCGAATTTAATGATTTGACAGTGATTAAAGGGAGATTGACAGCGTTAATAACATTGTTCACTAGTTCAATCTGCGGGAAATACGAAGCGCGGAAATTTCAAACCCAGCAATATCGCCGGAAGAGTCAGATGAAATAAAAGTGAAAAATGGCCATGAACAGTCCCGGGCCGTACACCAACCCAAAGTCCCCGAGGAGTCCGCGTCAGCTTCCCCAGCTGCCTCAAATGACCTCCATCACGGGGCAGAGGAGTCCCTGTCTAACACCTCAAAACTTTAGCTGCAAATCACCGGGCACACCTAGGGTCTTCGAATTCCCACCTGAATACTGCCCCGAAACGCCGAATGCTAATTTCGTCTTCGAGGATTTTGGAAAAGTTGAGTCGATATCGGGATCGAGGAATAATTTATTGTCAGAAAGCTCCGGTGGAAATACAAGTGGATCCAACAGTTTTGGAAGGAACTCGACTATTTACAGTCCACATGCACCTGCGACAAAGAATCCACGAGGTCCGGCTGATCCAAAATCTCCGGTTTTCCAGTTTTGCAATCCGAGAAAGAACTTTGGGAAGACTCAGAGCTATCCGTCTAAAAGCCCAGTGTCAACGCCCCCGATAATCAATTCCTCGTCGAGAAATAAATCAATGAGTTGTGGATCACCTCAGATTTTCAATCAGAAGACAGCGAAGTCATTAGAGTCAGGCAGAAGGAACTCGTGTTTGAATCTCGGAACTAACATTTCACCAACGACAATTGTCACTTCGTCGTCACGCAGTCCAAGTCCTAGGACAACTGATAAGGATAGGTTTGAGACTTGCACAAATCAGGACAGTCGTGACAAATTCACGAAACTATCCAAGAGGGATACCGAGAGTCCTACTAAGGGGGCCAGACAACGACTCGGGAGTTTACAATTGAACAAGAGTTATGGGTGTTTGAATGAGGTCGGTGAGAAGCTGCTAATGAGGTCGACTGTAAAAAATATTGCGAGAAAGTCCACCAGTGATCTCACTGAGTTCGATAATGCCGGGGGGGATGAGGTGGGAACTGAAGTTACGGTCTTATCTAGCCCGAGACGAAGGGGCTCGATGAAGGGCGGATTGGGTGAGTTCAGTTTTCTGGTAATTGACATTCAATACTATCGGGTTACCCGATGTTGCGATCTCTTGATTGAGGACTGGGTTATGTGAGTTGTTTGTATTTTCCTGTGTTTTATAGTATCAGAATCGTATCGATTGATACTGATGAAAGTTCATAACCTTGAAATTTAATAGTTTTTTGCTTCCGAATGGAAACCTTGTATTCGACCGAGTTTTTTATTTTCCAATTTTGATTGCAAATGGTCTAGAATGTTAGGGAACGTGAGGAAATGTTTTTAGGGTCATGTCTGCATGTATGTATGTGACAACTGGTGTTTTTGGTGATTAATTTTTAGAAAATTTCAGATAAATACGATGAAATTCCTAAATGAGAATCTAAAATAGTGTCCCATTAGCTATGACTGAGCTCAACTTTGGGACGCCTTCTTAGCCCGATCCAGTAATTCCTGAAATATACAACTTGTTTAAATTTAGTTTTTCCGCAATATCTCAAGAACGATTGCACTGATTTCAATTTTTATTTTTTCAAAATACTTCTCTCGACGGCCTCTATCTAGATCAATCATAATATTTATACCCATTCATACAAAATTTTCAAGATACTGCGGTTTTTTGAATTTTTAAATTTTTTCATTCTCATAGGCAAAAAAACTTGAGAAAAAATGAAGAAAGCACTACTACTATAACTATAGCTTTCACAATACTGAAGGTTGGTATTTTGGATAGGTGCAATCGGCAGTGCAGTTTTGGAGATATTTAACCTGTTGTCTAAATTTATTTCATTCAAAGGTTGAATATTTTCCTGTAGATCCCCTCTAGCATGTAGTTACGCTGGTATACCTATCACAACGATAGGGAATTGATACGGATCTATTCGAGAGCTTACTACAAATGAAATTGATGGAACTAAAAAAAAGAAAGAGACTAATGACCCAAAAAGTCACGGTCACATGACTTCTGTCGCATAGGCTCGAACCTCTGCTTGTGTTTCTAGAGAAAATGCTTTTCAGGGAATTGTGAATGTGGCGATCGTTTAATAAAAGCCCATGAAGATTGCTCGGTTGATATTCGAAACCCATATACATTTGTATTTTTTTTTATTCTGAGGTATGAAAACACTCGCAGTTGAGTTTCACTTTTTGTCCGTATTGTCGAACACGTTGGAATGCACAGAGTGATATGACATTTATAAGATTGCGTTACATTTGTAATGATGCTCTCCATTTAGTTGGGAAATGTGAGACAGTCCTCAGTAGATGAATCAGCCATTGGTAATAGCTATGTAGTTCAGTAGACACGTGCAACTTCAAAGCCAATAGATATAGATCGCGGATAATCCAGGAGTCGTGTGTTCGCCGGGTTAACCAGTGTAAATCTGGTGGTAATATATTATCTTTTCTGTGAATGTGCAAACTCATCAACAGTAGTAAATGAAGATCAATGAGACTATTTTACTAATGGTGTACCTTATTTGTGTTGACAGCTTATCTGGCATCGAGACGGGGATCGCGAGATAGCCAAGCGTCCAATCTGTCGAATGTCAGCAATGAGGATGTCGGACCATTGAATTTCAGCGCTCATCCGAGGGGGCGACAGAGGAGAACTTCCAATTTTCTGGAATTACCAGGTATTTGCGAGGGGAAAATCTGTGGAAGTCGTAACGGAACAGTTTGCATGAACCCGTGTCAAAATTTTACCGGGTCTCCCGACGCAGTTTCAACGTTTTGAACCTACATTGCTTTGTTGTTCAAATTCTCCGCCGAATTTTTACCGTACTTTCAACTTATCTCAACGTGAAGGCCCATAGACGTTGAAAAACACTCAATATCCACCGTATATTAAATGTACTCTCAACGTTAATGACGTATGTTTTCTGTTAACGTACGTTGTAAGATTCGACGTCCACATTTGATTGTATCAAGGTCATTATTGACGATAATTAAAAAATTCATTACCGTGTTAAAGACTCACGTAACTAAACTATAAGTGTTAGTACATTAATAACATTAGTTCGAAGTTCAAACAATCGTGTGTCTGAAGGGTGAGAAGGGAGGGTCCAAGAGTCAGAAGGGTTAGTTGAGTATAAGGATCAATTGAGTATAAGGGTGAGTTGAGTCCAAAAGATTACGCGAATCTAAGGGTCAGATAAGTGAAAGCCTCAGTTGAGATTGAATGTCAGTTGAATTTAAAGGTGAGTTGAGCCTAAGGGTCAAAAGAAGACAAAGGGTCAGACGAATCCAAGGGTCTGTTTTGTAAGGGCCAGAAAATTAAAAACCTCAGTTGAGTTCAACTATCAGTTGAGTTTAAGGGCCAGTTGTGTATAAGGGTCAGTTGAGTGTATGGGTCAGATGAGTGCGAAGACCCTATTGGGCCTGAGAGTCAGATGAGTCTACGACGAGAATAAGGATCAAATGAGTCTGAGGGTCAGATCGATTCTGAGGGTCAGGTGAGCCAAAGGTCATCTGACTTTGAGATTGAACTGATCCTTAAACTCAACTCAGCATATTACTCATCTGACCTTTAGATTCGCCTGACCCTTCGTACTCTTTTGACCCTTAGGCTCAACTGACTCGTAGATTCGCGTGATCCTTCACACTCAACTGACCCTTAAATCCGCCTGACCTTTTGTAGTTGTTTGACCGTTAGACTCAACTGACTCTTAGATTCGCCTGATTCTTCGGACTCAAATAACTCTTAGATCCATCTGACCCTTAAACTCAACTGACACTTGGACGCAATTGATCTTTAAACTGAATTGAAGCTTTTGCGTATCTGGCCCTTACTCAACAGACCCTCAAATTCGCATGATCTTTTGGACTCAACTAATCCTTAGAACCATCTGACCCTTAAACTCAACTATCACTGAGACGCATCTAACCTTTAAACTCAACTCAGACTTCTGCTTATCTGACCCATACTCAACTGACCCTTATATTCACCCGACCCTTCGTACCCTTTTGACACTCAGATTCGTGTGATTCTTCGGACTCGGCTGACCCTTATATCCATCTGGCCCTATGCGGAAGGTTTTACGCTTATTGATAAAAAAAACCATCTGGCCCTCATACTCATCTGACCCTTAGATTCATTTGACCCTTAAACTCAATTGATCATTAAACTCAACTGATACTTGAACAGAACTGAGCCTTTTACTTATCTGACCCTTACATTCGCCTGACCCTTCGTACTCTTTTGACCCTTAGGTTCAACTGACCCTTAGATTCGCGTGATCCCTCAGACTCAACTAACTGNTGTTAGTACATTAATAACATTAGTTCGAAGTTCAAACAATCGTGTGTCTGAAGGGTGAGAAGGGAGGGTCCAAGAGTCAGAAGGGTTAGTTGAGTATAAGGATCAATTGAGTATAAGGGTGAGTTGAGTCCAAAAGATTACGCGAATCTAAGGGTCAGATAAGTGAAAGCCTCAGTTGAGATTGAATGTCAGTTGAATTTAAAGGTGAGTTGAGCCTAAGGGTCAAAAGAAGACAAAGGGTCAGACGAATCCAAGGGTCTGTTTTGTAAGGGCCAGAAAATTAAAAACCTCAGTTGAGTTCAACTATCAGTTGAGTTTAAGGGCCAGTTGTGTATAAGGGTCAGTTGAGTGTATGGGTCAGATGAGTGCGAAGACCCTATTGGGCCTGAGAGTCAGATGAGTCTACGACGAGAATAAGGATCAAATGAGTCTGAGGGTCAGATCGATTCTGAGGGTCAGGTGAGCCAAAGGTCATCTGACTTTGAGATTGAACTGATCCTTAAACTCAACTCAGCCTTTTACTCATCTGACCTTTAGATTCGCCTGACCCTTCGTACTCTTTTGACCCTTAGGCTCAACTGACTCGTAGATTCGCGTGATCCTTCACACTCAACTGACCCTTAAATCCGCCTGACCTTTTGTAGTTGTTTGACCGTTAGACTCAACTGACTCTTAGATTCGCCTGATTCTTCGGACTCAAATAACTCTTAGATCCATCTGACCCTTAAACTCAACTGACACTTGGACGCAATTGATCTTTAAACTGAATTGAAGCTTTTGCGTATCTGGCCCTTACTCAACAGACCCTCAAATTCGCATGATCTTTTGGACTCAACTAATCCTTAGAACCATCTGACCCTTAAACTCAACTATCACTGAGACGCATCTAACCTTTAAACTCAACTCAGACTTCTGCTTATCTGACCCATACTCAACTGACCCTTATATTCACCCGACCCTTCGTACCCTTTTGACACTCAGATTCGTGTGATTCTTCGGACTCGGCTGACCCTTATATCCATCTGGCCCTATGCGGAAGGTTTTACGCTTATTGATAAAAAAAACCATCTGGCCCTCATACTCATCTGACCCTTAGATTCATTTGACCCTTAAACTCAATTGATCATTAAACTCAACTGATACTTGAACAGAACTGAGCCTTTTACTTATCTGACCCTTACATTCGCCTGACCCTTCGTACTCTTTTGACCCTTAGGTTCAACTGACCCTTAGATTCGCGTGATCCCTCAGACTCAACTAACTGTTACACTTATCGGATCTTTACACTCACTGACTTTTATATGAAGGGTCCGACCCTTACACGCCTTAGATCTATATGGACTCTCATTCCCTCTCATGTCCTCCCCCTGCTCCTTTCCTCTTAATTTCTTGTATTATTCTATCGCCTACTTTCTTTCTGTTTTTTCCTATTTTTCTTCTTATTAGTCGCTTATATAAACCCGAAAAAAATACAACTCACCACAAGCAACTGTACAGCTCAAAAGCATACCAGGATATTCTGCGATCACTGAGCTTGAGTAGTAGCGAGTAAAACCAGAAAAAGGATGCGGGTGACCGAAAGGGAACACGGCAGAACTACAAGCAGGGATATCTCGTGAACCAATGGACCGATCTGTTTTTTTCTTTTTTTACCATTTTTGTTTCACCAAGTTACTAATATTTATATTTTTGCCATTCTTCCACCGATTAATTTATGCAAGATTTAATCAATTAATCGATGTTAGAATGGAACTGGTAGTGTGGAGTGGATAGGGGGGAGGAAGGAAGGAAAGAATGTACGGTGGGGGAACCTAATTTCAATCTAATTTCAATGTACAATCTGGAAAAAATGGAAAAAAGAGAAGGTATTTACGTTAAAAGTAGGTTGAATCGGTGCATTTGAGCCTGTACAATGGACAACGTACTTTCAACGTCCTAAACCCACCAGTGGACCTTGAAACTACGTTGGGAGACCCGGTAAAATTTCGCCTCGGGAAGATACAAAATTTTTATGGACTTTTTGACGTTGGGAATCCTATAAGATCATCCTACGGAAAAATCTTTCCGATAAGGTTTTTTCAGTCGAAGAAGTTCTTTAAGAAAATTTTTGCTAGACGCGGGGGTTTCCATAAGCCGATTTTGAGATTCTTAATGTGGATCTCCCCATTGGGGATTAAATGTTTGAGCTCATTATGAGGTCCTCCACAGAGAAAAATAGTTTCTAGTTTTTAAATTACTGATAATGAGGATCCATGGTTTCAGATGGCATTGTACTGAGAATTAGAAATTGGCTATTAGAAAAGTTCCTAAAATTCAGGATTGAAAACCTACTTATTTCAAGTGAGAAAGGGTTTTAAATTGAGAAGCTTTGCTTTCTGAACCTGAAACCAGGCGAAATAATCACTATTTCTGAAATAATCAAATATTCATTTTGCATGAATTGGGTCAAGGTGCCAAATCATATACGTTGAATAATAAAACAGGATAATATAAACATAAGTGGATTGATTTTAAAGAAGGAAAAAGTATCAATTCAAGAATCTGAATATTCAATGCTGAATTTATTGTTCTCACTGTATGGCTTTACGCCTTTGACAGATGGAAGTACAGATTTCCTAAGTTGTACATACGTTGTATATAAATACAGACGACCGAGAGGTTATGGCACACGTATGCATCAAAAACAAAAGATAACACAAAGGAAAATTTAATAATAATGATATTTAAATATGAGAAGTTGTTCGCTGTTGTCCTTCTCTTGAGGTAGACTGTCTTTCCACGTCTTTTTCCTCATCTTGAAGTCCCGCACATCCATGATGTAGAGCGTCCCTCCATATCCAAGGGTTTTTCAGCTTCCTTCCGCAGATTTCTGATGATTTCTCTGTGTTGAAATGTCAAGAGGTGTCCATGAGGTTGCAGGTTAAACCCGGAGTTTGAGTCCGGCTGCCAAGTCACCCTAACCTCACTTCCTACGCGTCCCTCAATTTGTGTCCGTTTCCTCGTAATGTGTTATCTGTTGCCAAGATAACAGTTCGAACCCGGGTATATATGCCACTCCGGGGGGAGTGAAGACTTTTTTTGACAGTTTCACGTCTTAATTACTCAAAAAACTTCGTAAAATTGGAAGACGCGGGGATGAGCGGCCCATCCGAATCTAATACCGTTACCGACCGAGCCCGAATCTGAATATTTTTAATTTCAAAACCCGAAAGTTTTGAATTGCGGAACCCAGACTTCTTTGAAATGAGAAAGAATGGACTTTAACTCTCTATGGATGTATCTCCTGGGCACTCCTTCACTGAGAACAAAAAAGTTTCTTGAGAAGGACGTCTTCGCTTATATCAAGAAACTGGTGGCTCGAAAATTGATTTAAAA